TGCTTGCATTATGAGGTCAATGGTCCGAAGTCACATGTACGGATACCAAGGTGTTTTGGAGGTGTGAACGTTATGCATTCAGTTTTGTCTTCATTTAAAAGCAGGACGTTGTCGGAGAGCCATAGCTGGAGTTCGTAGAGGCAGTTTAATTTAGCAATTGTAATGTTGGAATTCTTGCTAATTGGTAGATATGGTATTTGCACATGGTCCGCATTACAATGGAAGCGAAGACCACGTCTAGCCATGATTATCCCAAGTGGCAGCATATACAAGGAAACGAGCAATAGACCAAGAACTGATCCCTGGTGAACCCCACTGGAAAGTGGAGCCCACAGGGAAGAGACATCACGATCATCACTAAAAAGGTCCTATCCTATCTGAAGCAAACCCTTTTAGGACTTTTCCTCCAAAGCTAACTGAGTCTTTTGGGCGTGAGACAAATATCTTGTGATCCACTGTATCGAAAGCTGAGAGGTTCAGCATGACCAGCAAAACTGGCTGCCACCAGTCAAAGTGGAAGGCTTTAGACCCAGGTAAGGGCTGAGCCATTCCACAGTGAATAAGTACCTAGATGTGTTGCTCAAGTCCATTTCTTCATAAGACAATGAGTGAACTATAGACACATGTAGAGCAATACAACATAGTAATATTAGTGGACAGTTGTACCAACAGGCTAAAGGTCACTCATACACCACGTCTTCTTCACAAGCTGTATGTTCAGCTGACTGATCTAGTTGTGGATATTTGGACACTGAATTATTCAGAGGAAGTAGGTGCATGTTGGATCAGCAGCATCCCGTCTCCTGAAGACATTTACACGAGCAGAGGCAGAACTGCCCATGAACTCTTCACCTTGCCTCCATCTGGCTGAAGATTGAGCACCCTAATCCATTTTCTTGTCCATTTTCGTAGCTTATTTCCGTTTACGTGCACCCCTCACTTCCCATCTTAAGTGACTGAATTTTCACACGGACCGTTTATGCATCAACACCTGTCTGTATTGGCATGTGTCTACACCTCTGAGTGTGTGTATGGACCTCCTCCCGTCCTGCCCCATATTCATGTTCAGTTTTTCTGGGCCTCCGTATCTTTTCTTGTTTTCATTTAGTGACCGTGGCCATGATAAAGAGAGAAGAAGAAAGAGGGAGGGGAGGTCGTGGTATGAAGTAAGGAGGGGTTGGTTGCAGATGGCCTGGTCTGGTCAGAGAGTAAAAGAGGAAAGGAGGTAGAGAGAGAGAGAGAGAGAGAGAGAGAGACGAGAGAGAGAGAGAGAGAGAGAGAGAGAGAGAGAGAGAGAGAGAGAGAGAGAGAGAGAGAGAGAGAGAGAGATGAGAGAGAGAGAGAGAGAGTGAGAGAGTGAGAGAGAGAGAGAGAGAGAGAGAGAGAGAGAGAGGAGAGGAGAGAGAGAGAGAAGAGAGAGAGAGTGAGAGAGAGAGAGAGAGAGAGAGACAGAGAGAGAGAGAGAGAGAGAGAGTTATTGTGGAGCGGCAGGCTCTTTTTGGCAGGGTCGGCCGGTGGAGGGCTCATTGTGATGCAACGTTGCATAAATAATGCCACAGGGTTTTCTAAATGCTCCGTTGCCATGGGGACCTTTGTGGCTCAAAGAACTGTGTGTGTGTGTGTGTGTGTGTGTGTGTGTGTGTGTGTGTGTGTGTGTGTGTGTGTATGTGTGTGTGTGTGTGTGTGTGTGTGTGTGTGTGTGTGTGTGCTTCATGGCCCCTGAGCGAGGAGAGAGAGAGACAGAGACAAGGGGGGCTGAGTTGCAGTCAGCTCAAGTGACACTTGTGGTCTCTTTCTTTCTTTATTCCTCTGTCGTTCGCTGCGTCCTGATGCAGGATAGATGAGTGTTTGGAGGAGAGTGAGCGAGCACTGCTGTTGTGTTTTGATCCAGATGGGAGCACAGAAAACACTGGTAGACTTTATGAACTTCTCTGTTTTGATGAAGCATGGTCCATGTTAAGGTAGGTGTCCTCTCTGATCATTTTTACGGTCTATATTTGAGCTGGTTATCCTTTCCTGATCTACACTTCATTGGAAAATGGTTCCATCCCAGTGCTTCCCTGGCTTTCTGCAGCAACAGGTGTCAGTCAGCCCAGTTCTGAGCTGGAGGGAGCAGAGATCGAAGGGGCCAGTGGGAAGAAACCGGGAGCAGCTGCCTTTGTCCTGCTGATTCTAAGATTTAACCCTCTCAGGCTCAAAAGAAGCTTTGATAAAAGGACGAACAATTAAGTCCTTCAGGGGTACTTCTGAGTTAAAAAAAGGCTCATGAAATACGTATGTGGAGTAACCAGGTAGGTAGGTTTTAACGTTGCAAATCTGCAACACCTGCCTCCAGAGGGCTAAATCTGAAACCAGTTTGTGTTTGCTCTCAACTAAACAAGTAGTTTTTTTTAATGTGAAAGAACTTTCATTTGCAACAGAGATGTTGCCAGAAAGTATATTTCTTTCTCCCTGGTCTTTACATCAGCTGATTAAGTACTTTATATTGATTTGGCTGCATAAAAAGTCTGATCTCTCTGGGAAACAACATGCTGTTTTCCTGCATGCAGTGCTGCTTCAGATGTAAATAAGGGCAGCGGTTGGTTGCTATTGACTTCAGGGGATTGCAGCTTTGTAGTGATGCAAAAGGACACTGAAATCAACAATGTGCTGCTTGTACAATGTTAGCTGCTTGCTAAAATGTCAACAAATACTGTAATCATTGAATTCACACACCAAGTGCCTAACAAGATGTTAGCATATGGCTTTAAATTGTCTTCATGCAATTTGCTATCAACTCAGAAATCAATATTTTGAATTTTACTGCATCATAAACAGCATCAAATCCGCATGCTACTTTTTCTACGTGACAGCTGCAAAGGCACGTTTTATAGACCACTTATGACATCACAGTTACTCAAATCACCTCAGTCACAAATCACTGGGAAGCTTTTTGCAACAGCTCTGAAATCAGCTCTGTTTAGCCACAGTCTGGCCCACCAGCAGCAGATCTGACAGGTTTGTGCATTTGTCTGCATGCACGTGCACATTTGTATGGGCGACTTCCACTGGCTCCTGTGCACATGCTGGCTCGGTTAATGTTAATGAGGGGAGAATGGTGCACAATTACTGTGAGATATGCAGTGATTTGTGAACTTATTACATTAATGAGACTTTATAATCAAATTGTGTTATTATGGAGGGAAGCCTGGAGTTGCCTCGGGCATTATCAGCATTTAGGCTCCCGCAGACCAGCAGTCCATTAGCATTCTTAGTCAGAAATTATACACTGTGTTAAATGTAGAGCTAATGATCCCAGTCTGTCATGTGGGTGTCATTTTAAAAGTTGGGTCATTTGGTTTGGTCTGATTGTTATTTAAACATAATGTAAACTTATTGTTATTTTTGAGTCTGTGTGTCTCTGATTCAGTTGAAATGATTTTTAACTCTTTGGCCCATTAACCACTTGTTAGAGCGCACAGTATTCGTCATTTTTTAGTGGTGTGGACAGTATTGGGCTAATTTACCAAACCATTAAGTGAGCTGAACAAGAGCTGTGGCTGGAAGGTTAAAAACCAACCCGGTGCAGATGCAAGGCATGAAACAGAGAAGAACTCATGTTCATGGAGTTAAACTAGTTAGAAATCAAAATTGTGCTCAGGGTTGCACTCAGGATGATCAGCTGAATTAATCATAGATTGATGGGACTACATTGATGAATGAATTACCAGTAGCACAGATAACATCATTAGATGTTGTTTTACATGGATAAATCCCCTAATTTGTGTTGAAACTGAGAAATTGAAGGAAAACACACACGTATGACCGAAAGTGGATGCAACAAAAATTCCAATGATGTGAATGTTTTCTTTTTTGTTCCTAATAATTGAATGATTCAGTACCGGGCTACTTTTATGATAAACTGTATTCATGTGGAATCGGTTTAGTCATTTTGACCTATTGAAAAACATTTCCTCTACAATTCCTATTCACGCATTCCAAAAAACACACCAGTTGATAAAAGTCTGCATGTGGACCCATCTCAAGGTGGAGAGGGTGCTGTACCCCTCTGCTGTCTTTTGCAGGTGTGATTCTACCTGCCCTTTGCATAAATACATTAACTGACTGATCTGGTCTTCTTTTCAGTAATGAGGGTGTTGTTTTGGCATTTTGTAGTAAATAAGCATCAAACCAAAGAGGAAAGTTCTCCACACACTGGTCCTTCTACCCTCCAACCCCCATGAAGTCACAGGTTTGATTGTACCAAGTTCTTAAAAGCAAGCAGCTGAATGAGCCATCAGCCTTTTAGAGATAAGGTGAAGAGCTCCATCATTCAGTCAAAAAAGTCTGTTGTCTTGTTTTTGGAATCTGATTAGTTTGCCTCCTTCACTTTCCTCTGGCGATTTATTTGGATATGTCCCACTTATTCTACCAACTCCCATATCAGTGACACAATGAAATGATCTTATGCATTTATTTAAAAATCAAAAACTGTTTATTAGGATATTTTACATAATTTTTCTCTTTTTCTGCTGTGATAAAAACTCTGACCTGGTACAACTTTCTGTATCTCACCTCCACTTAAGTATTCTCTAGTTTTCTGTCTTTGTGTAAAAAAAAATCCTTCATTATTATCATTTTTAAAGGTGTGCTGTATTACAGATTAAGTCACTTTTAAGGATGAAAGACCAACCTTCTCATCATGTGGCTCGTTCTAACAGGAAGATACAAATCCATGCAGCGTTGAGATAGATTCACCTGAATCTGTCACTTTACTGATTACATTAACGTCTGAACGTCTGGCCTTGTGAAGCTGGCAGAGACAGTGATGCCTTCTTTCCCCACCATGCTCCGCTAATTTCTTTCACAACAGTTAAAAATGTGTCAGGAGACAATGGAGCCACAGTAACGTTGAGGATAGCTTTAAATGTGGCAATAAATAAATCGAGAGACTGTTTTGACTCTCTCTCTCTCTCTCTCTCTCTCTCTCTCTCTCTCTCTCTGTCTCTCGCCCTCTCCAGGAGTTGCAGTTTGAACGTCTGACCAGGGAGCTGGAAGCCGAACGGCAGATCGTTGCCAGTCAGCTGGAGAGATGCAAGCTTGGCTCTGAGACTGGAAGCATGACTAGTATCAGGTGTGTGAGAGTGTGTGTGTGTTTGTTTCTAACACCTGCCAGGTCCTCTTCCACACCCGTGTGTGTCAGCTGTGCCCTTGCAGGTGACTGGCATCACAGCCGGTCACATTAGAGTCCAGCTCACAGTTCAAACGCTGTTGTTTTGCTTTTGAACTCAGTGGGAATTTGTGAATTTGCGCGCTGAAGCAGATCCAGTTTAGTTTTTATTTAGCAAATCTGCAGCATAAAGTTTCGTTTCCTTGGACTTATTGTTTTTGTCCTTGGCTGTTTAAGACCAATAATTATTTACAGTATTTTACATGATTGTTAAACATGCAAATAAGAAGATTTGTCTGTAGTTTTTACTGTATGCAGACACAAATGTGGTTTTTGAGTCAGACGTTCTGATCCACATTGTTTTTTCCTCATTTAATCCCATCCGTCTGTCGTTGCATATGGGATCCCTACAGATACTTCACAATAAAAGCCCTCTTCAAAAAATCAAGATTTTCTCTTTACTCAATTAAAAGAAGGCTTTTAATTTGAAATTAAAGTGAAGCTTCTAATGTGGAAACCAATCACTGCTCTAAAACACTTGGTCCCTTCCATTTATAAGCTTCTACTAAGCATGGACTAGATTCATATGTTCTTGTTTTTATTGGTTCTCTAATTATTGGGATTATTAAAGCTGTTTGACTGAAAAATAGCTGCAAAAAACATGAATCAACGCAAACCTTAAGTGTGAACTAATTTCTGAGGATTAGTCCCTGATTGCAGAAATACAGATTTAACTGCAGACAATAAATAAAATTCTTTAAATTGACTGAAATCTTGTGTCAATTGACTTGAATAATAAATAAACATGTTTCTATTTTGGAAAACACACCTTTATGTGTTGTAGTAGAACAAATGTAAAATAAAACATGAATTAAGTATGAAAAACATGTAAATGCACTCATAAATCATACGTTTTGAAGAGTCTGATGTCCCCTTCTGGCTAAGAATACAAAGCCATGTTTGTGTCTCACAGGTTTGGTCCTGAGAACTCTGATGGACAAAAAGTCTTTCATAGAGGAGATATTTTGACATTTACAGAACTGCCTGGTTTTTGGTTATTGCAGCAGAAATGTGAAGGGTTTACCACAAAAGTTGGAGTTTTCTTCTGGCTGGAATTGAACGATAATTCAGCTCCACTATTCATTAAAAATGTAAACTTTATGACAAAGTTAAGGGTATAAATGATCATTTGCATGAACTGATTTAGGATTTTTGAGATGCATTGTTTAGGCCTCTCCATTAGTTGTCACAACTAATCTCTGTTTCTCCAAACTGACCCCCTTCAAAGAGTTGTCTATAGCAGGTGAAATATTAACTGATTGATGATTTTCCAGGTTTCAGCCATTGGTGAAACACTGGCTGAGTTTTCATTTGTTTTTTGTGACACACCACCATGTCTGAAGGCTGTTTTGATTGTTTTTTTTAAGTTAGGCTGAATATGTTGACTTCTTTCAGTCACAAACATTTCATTTAATTATTTCAACCAGTTTTGTGTCCTGACATTACTATTCTAGCAGTCGTCATCTTGATGCAAAAGTTTTTATTTTATATCAGATTACAAAAGTCAACAGTTTTTTTTTTTTAGAAACACGTGTCTTGATTAGTTTTTAACCTTTTTAGTTAGATTTGTTTTATTGAAGTACACAGATACACCAAATTTCCAGATAATCCTAATAGAATCATTTTTCTTTTGTGGAAAATTGTCAAAATGTGTATTTTGGGCAGATTGGATAGATCCAGCTAGCTACAAATAAATAACTTTTTTTTGTGTTAGGCATTCGTCCCTTATTCATTTGTTTGGTTAGATGACTCATTTGTGACACATGAATAATTCATTAATCAGTTTTAAGATTCCACAAGAGTTTAAAGCAATGGAGCCAAAAATGTTAAAGATGCAAACTGAAACTAAAAGAAAAAGCTCAGAGATGTTCAAACACAAAATAAATAATTCACCCACGTTTTCTTTACTAGTCTTTAACAGCCTTTCTCATCTAACAAGTTCAGTTAAACTTTATACATAGTCATTTTTATTTTCCATATTTTCCACTTCAGTTTAATAATTGTATAGACTTAAGCTGACCTAATTTCAAGAGCATGTGGGACTGGTTATTAGCTTTACTATTAATATCTCTGCAAAACAACAACAGAGAGGGTTCAGAGAGCGAGAGCATCGCGGCTGTGTTTTTGTGAATCATGGCGTTGTTTTTAGTAAATTCTAATGTTTTAACCCCTCACCATCAAATGCACGCTGCAAGAATTTTAGGATTCTGATGCAAGGATTCTTAACTGCAAAAAAAAAAATTCTAATTTATTTACAAGTTTGATTTCTTAAGACATACATCAAGTAATCATTAGGAATGCACATTTGTAGAGAAAGTAATTTTCACAGCTGTGGATGTTTTACAGTTGAAAAAAGAATTGATTTTAAAATCCTACTGCTTGTATACAGTATAAAGCTCTCAATGGCCTTGCACCACAATTTATTACAGACATGCTAGTACATTATATACCAGTCAGACCACTCCGGTCTGCAGATCATCGCAATCTTGTTATATCACGTACACATTCTAAGTCAGGGGAGGCTGCTTTTAGTGTATATGCACCTAAGATCTGGAATAGAGCTCCGGGAGCTGACGTCACGTTTCCCGGCATGCAACAGTTCAAATTGAAACGGCGCCATATTGGCATGCAGAAACCCGCAGCTGGACTATTTGTTATTGTCAGAAAACTCAGTCAAACGGTAAATATGGTAGATTCCTGTTGTGCCCCAGGATGCAGAACAGACGCGGACGACAAAAGGGATGAGCCATCTACAGGATTCCCCAAGATCCGGAGCGCCGCAAACGTTGGATCATTGTAATAAAACGCGCTAGTGACCGGGCTGAAATGAAACTGTGGGACCCCGAGAGTAAAGGATTTCGCTTATGCAGCGACCGCTTCATATCAGGTACTTAAACCAACGTTTCCTCAACTGTGTATGGTATTTATTTTAAATGCTTTTATTCCGATTCTTAGTAGGCTTCCTAAACTTATTTTGGCGTGGCTTTTTCTGTCTTATTACTCACAGCAACAAGTAAACATCACGTAAAACGTTGCCTCGTGAGTTCTGCGTGCTGCCGTTTACGTGTTTTATGATCACAGCAATTAACCGGCTAAGGTTGATCAATTGTCAGATCACACATAAAAAGCACTTTGGATTGCTGTTATCTGTCTCACCGAAACAGATCTCAGACAGATCCTGAGATGCTCCTGCCTGACATATTTATTTAATGGAAAAAAATCAAACTAGTGATTTCTCTTGGCGTTCAGTTTATACGTTCAAACAGCACAGCACTCTATTTAAACTACTTACATGTAAATCTATGTTATTTGTCCATCCATCCATCCATTTTCATCCGCTTATCCGGAGTCAGGTTGTGGGGGCAGTAGCGTCGAGAGGCCCAGACTTCCCTCTCCCCAGCCACTTAGGCCAGCTCCTCCGGGGGAATCCCAAGGCGTTTTGGCAGGCAACAAAGGTAAACAAAATGAACGGGATCGGCTTGGATTGTACTTCGTCGGAGTTTACTTCACACTTTAAAACCGAACAAATCGTTTTATATAGTCAGAAATTAAATAGACTAAATATCTCCGACCCTTACCGTGCCCCTGGGATACTTTTTAAAAACACCAGAAGCTGTCGGAGCGGACTTCTTACCCGACCTGGCCAGGGAAAATTCTACCGGACCATGTTGTCCGCGTCTGTTCTGCGTCCTGGGGCACAACAGGAATCTACCATATTTCCCGTTTGATTGAGTTCTCTGACCATAACAAACAGTCCAGCTGCGGGCTTCTGCCTGCCAATATGGCGCCGTTTCGATTTGAACTGTTGCATGCCGGGAGAAGTGACGTCAACTCCCGGAGCTCTATAGCTCCAAATCACAAGAGTCGCCTCAAGGCACTTCACAAATGAAAAAGTCCAAATGAACCTACTTATCAGTGTATTGAGTTCAGTTCATTATGCCAGTTAGTTAAACTGCCCTATGTAAGGAAACCCAGCAGATTGCGTCAAGTCACTGACTGGTGTCAGTGTTAGATTGAAGGTCATTATTTAAAATCATTTTAGTAACTGATGTGTCACAATTGTATTTTCCCTTCATTCCAACATCTTTATCGGTGCTTCATTTGTCCATGAAAGGACATGACAAACATGCAATCCTAAGCTGTATACCTCCCAAAATTATCAGCTTTATTACTGTACCAGTCTTCAAAGCATTAGTTTGTTAAAAGCATCTGCATATTTAATTGTACTTTTAACGAAATTTGAATTTAGTGACATTTGATGGCACAAGATAAGATCCCTTGTACTTTGATGACGATGTTCACCAGTTGCTGCTCAGAAAAGGAAAAGGAAAAATAAATGTTCTGCAGATGTCACCGCGGCCTGCTTTCTCATTTTATTGTCTTTTTAGTTTTTGCGACGAGAGGAAGAAAATTGTACGGTGTGAAGCGACTGTCAAATTATCAGCTGCTGATTGAGTTTGGGCCTCTAGCTTCATCTTTTAATGTGAGTCAGAGAACCGAGGCTGCACGGTCCCCACCAGTCCCAACGTGAAAACAGCACAGCTCTCACACTGGTGCTAATACACTTAGCCTAACCCTCAGGATGGTGTAACACGATTAAAGCCCTTGTCTCCCATTTCTGTCTCACCCCACACACACACACACACACACACACACACACACACACACACACACACACACACACACACACACACACACACACACACACACACACACACACACAAACAAGACATCATCTTTTTTCGTCTCTGGTTCTGTAAAGTGAATGAGGATTCTGTCTGTCTCAAACTAATTACTCATCTCCTTCCATTGTGATTGTAATTTCAATTTGTTGGCTAGACCAACAAAAAGAAAGATGGTCTAAAACTGATTCTTTCAGCATTCTAATTAACTGGTGTGTGTAT